ATGCTGCTTGGCCTGCTGTGTTCATCCAGCCCTGCACCTTGTTGTCTCGGATTCTCCAGCATCTGCAGTTCCTACTATCTCAGAAGGATAGTCCTGATGACTAAGCATATGGGTAGGCCATTTAGGACTGAGATGAGAAGAAATTTGTTTACTCAGAGAATGGTGAGCCTGTGGAACCCTTGCCAGAAAGTGACTGAGGCCAAAATATTAAACATCTTCAAGAAGGAGTTATATGTAGTTCTTAGGGCTAAAGAGATCAAAGGATTTGTGCAGAAAACAGGAACAGGATACTGAGTTGGATGACTAGCAATGATCATATTGAATGGGGAATAGGCTTGAAGGATCAAGTAGCCTATTTCTGCTCCTGTTTTCTATGTTTCCATGCTTCTTTGTGTTCTCAACTCTACCTTAAAAGAAAACCAAAAAACTGCAGATGCTGTAAATCCGAAACAAAAACAGAAATTGCTGTAAAAGCTCAGTAGGTCTGGCAGCATCTGTGGAGAGAAATCAAAGTTAACTGAGTTCTGAGGAAGGGTCATTAGACCTGAAACATTAACTCTGATTTCTCTCCATAGAGCCAGACTTGCTGAGCTTTTCCAGCAATTTCTGTTTTTGTTTCTACCTTAAGAGACCTGAGCTAATAATCCAGCTGACTCTCCAGTTCAGTGTTTACGGTGTGCTGTACTGTTGATGGTTTTGAAAGATTTCTTCCAGGTATTCTCACCACCATTTGTCTTCTCAATTAGCATCATGAAGAGATAAAAGATGATTATCCAGTGATAATTATATTGCTATTTGTGGAATCTTGCTGTGCACAATTTAGCTGTTGCATTTCCTATAGATTTGGAAAAAAAACATTTGTCTGAAAAATGCCCTGAGCTCTTAAAGAGGCTGCATGAATGCAAGATTTCTTTCAACTGGGAGAGTTTAAGTAGATGTCACTCAGCTCCTCCTCATCCCATCCCAACTGTCCATAGCACATACCTATCCTCACAGTCTGCATTATGAACAGCAAAGAAATATGGAAAAAGACAGAAACAAATTCTGGATTAACATCACCAATCTTCATTACATCTTCTAAATACAGAGGATGTGTATGGTAAGTGATTTTAATTAGTCTGTTTTGATGCCCACTTTTGTGACATCAGATAAATAATTACGCAACAAAAGAGTTTTGAACTATTAATGCTGTGAGGCGAGTTATCATTCCGTTTGCGACATCATAATCATCTCTGACCTTTGAGCAGAGGAGCTCCTAAACTACTTCTCAAGGTATCCAGAGGCCCGTCCCTGTCATGGGAACAGTTTCTGTATTTGTCCCCATACCGAAGGTTACAAAATTGGAACTGGTTTTTAAAGATCAAGTTTATTTGGCTGGTGAGACTATTGATGGCAAGGTTGTCTTGGAACTGAATGAGCCTTTGTTCCTTTATTCGGTGAAGTTAAAGATAGCAGGAAAAGGATTTGTGGAGTGGATTGGAGAAGCCGATGAAAATCTGGATTACACCAGGAAAATCCACTGCAGTAACAGAGAAGATTATTTTCATCATATCTTCACACTTTGGGGAGCAGGTACAAAGTTGAGATCAATAACAGAAAACAGGAGCACTGTATGGACCAGCATTTGGGGAGGGGTGTGGGAAATCTGAGAAACAGGGTTATTCATACTAAGTGGTAGAAAAAATACTGTGCCTGTCTTTCAGATTCTTTTTAAAATTTTGACGCACTGAAGTGAGGCCTGGAGTGTAACATAATGTGATGCTGTATTGTGCAAATCAGAGAATGTGGCAGAATAAATTAGCTTGGATTATAATTAATTTGGGATGATTGTTAAAAAAAATCTGAAAATGGATATGGGTGACTGAACGTATGTTAGATCAACTTGTTACAGGGAGTAAATATTATATTCACTGCATGCAACATAATATAAAACTTTTAATGTATTTTAGGCAAACGCAGAATTTGAAAAGGTATGCCTTTTTTTGGCTGGTTCTTGTTGGTGTAATGAAAGATAAGTCTCGTCTTATATAAAAAATATTCTTTAATGGCTGCACGATATCCCAAAGCACTTTAAAATCAGTTAAATATTTTTGATGTTAGATCACTGTTATAACAGAGGAAACACAGCAGCTAACTTGCTTGCAGCAAGATCTCAGAAAATATAACATGGTAAAGATTGGAGATTTGATTTTCTGTGATGTTGGTGAAGGAATAAATGTACATCAGGATACTCAGCAGAACTCTACTTCATCAAAGAAGTGACATGAGATCTTTTAGATCCACCTAGAAGGAGAAACAAGGCATCGTAGTGTTTCATTTGAAAGTCAGCATCACTGACAATGCAACATTGAAGTGTCAGCCTAGATTTCTGTACTCAAGGCTCTTGAGGTGGATAACAACTCCTTGATAAAGAGGTGAGAGTGTCACTACTGAACCATAACTCACCTTTAAATATTGCAAAAAGTACTCAAAATAAAACCTCATTCTATCACAATTTTACATAGAACATAGAACAGTACAATAGTACAGGTCCTTTGGCCCATGATGTTGTGCCAACCTATTATCCTACTAAGATCAAACTATCCTGCATTCCCTACATTATACTATCCTCCATGTGCCTATCCAAGAGTCGTTTAAAAGTCTCTAATGTACCTGTCTCCACTACCACTGCCGGCAGTGCATTCCACGCGCCCACCACTCTCTGTGTAAAGAACCTACCTCTGAAATCTCCCCTATACTTTTCTCCAATCACCTTAAAATTATGCCCCCTTGTAATAGTCATTTCCACCCTGGGAAAAAGTCTCTGGGTATCCAGTCTATCTATGCCTCTCATCATCTTGTACACCTTTATCAAGTCAGCTCTCATCCTTCTTTGCTCCAATGAAAAAAGCCCTACCTCCCTCAACCTTTCCTCATAAGACCTGCCCTCCAGTCCAGGCAGCATCCTGGTAAATCTCCTCTGCACCCTCTCTAAAGCTTCCACATCCTTCCTATAATGAGACAACCAGAACTGGACCCCATATTCCAAGTGTGGGCTAACCAGGGTTTTACAGAGCCGCAGTATAACCTCGCAGCTCTTAAACTCAATTCCCCTGCCAATGAAAGCCAACGCCCCATACACCTTCTTTACAACCCTATCAACTTGTGTAGCAACTTTGACGGATGTAAGAATCGATGTACTCTTTAAACACAAATAAGAACATAAGAACAAATAAATTGGGAGCGGGAGTAGGCCATCAAGCCCCTCGGGCCTGCTTCGCCATTCAATAGTTCATGGTTGATCTTATCGTGAACTCACTCACCCGCCAGCTCATCAGAACCCTTAATTCCTCAATCTTTGCCTTATAAACATTCAACGAGGTAGTCTCAACTGCTTTACTGAGCAGGAAATTCCACAGCTTCACAACCCTCTGGGTGAAGAAGTTCTTTCTCAATTCAGTCCTAAATCTGCTCCCCATTATTTTGAGGCTCTGCCCCCTATTTCCAGTTTCACCCTCCAGTGAAAACAGCCTCCCTGCTTCAACCTTATCCACTCCCTGCATAATTTTATATGTTTCTATAAGATTCCCCTCCCATTCTTCTAAATTCCAATAAGTATAGTCCCAATCCACTCAATCTCTCCTCATAAGCCAACCCTCTCATCTCCAAAATCAACGAAGTGAACCTCCTCTGCACTCCCTCCAGTGCCAGTACATCATTTCTTAAGTAATGTCATAATGTATTGCATCAATCTTGGAAAGTGGTGATTAAAAGTTTTAATGAGTGGGATAATAAGAGCAAAAACACAATGAATCAATTTCAAATAAAACAGAATAATATTGGTTTTGGTATTATCCAGTTTTCTTGTTCACAGTTTCCTCTGCAAAAAGCTGCATGTCTGTTTTAGTATATCACCTCATATAGGTAATACATGGTCCCATCCAATGTTGACAAGGTTACCTGTTTTGTTTGGAGGCATTTCTGCAGGTTTGATCATGTAGCATAAATTGCCAACTATCTATCCCAATCCCTTTGAAATAAAGATATTTGGGAAGAAAACAATAGAAGGATCAGAATGCAGAATTAATTTGCAATTGTTCCTTTTAATGCAGGCAGCCCTTAAAGCTGACATTGCCTGATAGTTTAAGTGACAAGAGCATGCAGCCCAGCGCTGAATGTGCATTGGAGGTGCTGATGTTCTTATGATAAAGAATAATAATTCAAGCTCAGCTGCACCTCCTAAAGGGGAATGTAGTGTATTCTGGCTGTAGAATGTGTTGAAAGTGGCTGAAAATAAAATTCTTGGAGAAGGAGAGTGAACGTGTTGTGAAAGGAAAGTAACTGAGCTCCCAAAGAAGGGTTCCTGAAGAAGGGTTCTGACCCGAAACTTTGACTTTCCTGCTCCTTGGATGCTGTCTGACATGTTGTACTTTTTCAGCTCCCCATTTTTTGACTTAAGCTCCCAAAGTCTCTGACTCAGTTCTTGAGATCTTATTGTAAGAGGTGGACAGGAAAGAGTGTGGTCCTCTACTTACCAGGGATAAGAGGAGCACATTCCCTCCCTCTTCATTACCAGACAGACACAGAGAGTGGAAGCTTTACAACTGAACCACTCATTTTATCTGCACTACTCAATTCATCATGCACCAATCACTCACTTACTCACGATTTTTTTAAAGCAGGACTTACTTGTTGGAAATTCATAATTTCACATCATTCCCACATACTTAGTATTGCTGCATGACTCACAACCACATTTCACAGCTTGCACACACTGTCAGTTATTCAACCAGGAAGATATAGAATCCAAGACACAGCTATGCTCATGCTTAATCCTCCTCATATCCCAGTTCCTCCACAGCCCAGAAGGGCTCTGAGTGGGTTGGGAGTGGGGGTTGCAGGGATGGCTAATGGATTCACACACATATGGCCATGGTCACCTTCACATAATGCTATCCTTTCCCTGCTCCCATGCAGCAGCTTTGCCTGCAACAAGTGGCAGGTTTCGATGAATACTGAGTTGGAGGCTTCATATCAACCATCTGTTTGGGATTTGACGAGTAGATTAAAAGCCAGATGTCCTTCCTGCTGCTAAATCTATCAATTTATCTGTGCTGAGAAACCACTCTCATATTGGATAAGAAGAAACGAGCAAGGATGCCTCCAGGAATATAAAGATTTTGACTCTGCCTCATAAGTTATACTATGAAACAGTATACTTGCAGGGAAAACTACAGATAATGACAGATGTGCAATCCAGAGCAATAGGCAATTGTCTTACCAAACACAACATTGAGTTTGTTTACAAAATTAAGATGTACACACTGTCCATGGCAACATAATGGCCATGAAGCCACAATTGACTTAGCTAGATCCATTAGGAGCAGTTGAGGGGCCAGGAATGTCCCTACATCCATTGGTATTTTGTTGAGTGTTGGCCAGACCAAAGGCCCAGCAAGCTGGCCATGAAAACATATTTTGAGCACAACAGTATTTTACAATTGTTGAGCATGCTTTAGGGTCACTTGGGGATCAACAACTGCAGGGTTAGAGTTTGATGTGATGGTCTTGGATCTCCAAAGACATTGAGGAGCTCATCATCAATTGCAAGACCTATGCCATCCACAGACTGGAGTGATAAGAGCTGTTGCTCCCCACCATATTCCCCAAAGAGGTCCATGTGGCAGGAAAAATAATTTGTGAATTTCCCTGTTGAATAGAGGTTAAGAAGATACATAACACAGCTGTTGCTATCCAAGTCTTACATGAGATATCTACAATGTCCTTGATGTGGTCATTTCTGACAACAGGCCACATTTCACTAAAGAATGCTTCAGCCAATTTGCAGCTAGGTCTGGATTTGAAAATGAACATGTTTTGTGGAAAAGGGAACTAAGATTTGAAAATGTCACAAGCTCACTGAGATATCCACAATTGAATGAGGAGACCAAGCTTAAGGTCAGGACAGTTAGATGGCTCTTGAAAAAGAATGCTGGTATCTGTGTGGCAATGCTAAATGATAGATCCACTGCACTCTAATGTTGTGTAGCACCATCAGGATTGCTGATGGGCAGGAAGCTGGAGTCTTAGTTCCCTTTTCCACAAAACATGTTCATTCCATATTTACTCCTACAGAACTATCGAAATGTTTACAATCAGGAGTCTTTCAGTGGTGTGCAACTGGTCATACCCTGTAATAGGCTTCACTATGCAAGCCGATTGTGATATTTAAGACAGGGGGACGGGATCTGAACAGAAAATAAATGGTCATACAAAGGAGCCACAGGAAGCTTATCCCAATACAGGTTAATTGACCAACACACTGATTGATTGGGATGAACGCAGTGTTGAATTTAATAATGCAAGTACTCCTAAAGCCCTCAGACTGTCAGGAAGAGGATCAAAGGCAATGGTCTTCCACCCATCAAGCTACCTGTCTTCCCAGAGAAAACTGAAACCTTCAGATCACCTGAGTTTTTAAAGTTATAGAGTTGGAGGTAATTGTAATTATACACAAATGTATAATATTTATAATGAGAGTAAACACTTATGGAGATGTGGTATAAGGATATAAACGGGTCTGAAAGGGTTAA